TAAGATATAAATTTTCTAAATAAGTTTTGAAGTGTGATTAAAAAAATCATATTATATCATGGTTTCCTAAATATATATGAACTAAACTAAACTAAAAATCTCGAGCAACTTACTATGATAGGAAAGTGCTTACTGTCCCAATTCCCTCCAAGCTGAGAAGTTTTCTAAATATTGTATAATTATCAATGAAATTAGGCTATTACTAATTTTTATATATATATATATTTCCTTCCATCCCTAGGAGTGGTCAGAACAGTGGTCTGTTTAGGACAGACTCCTATTACATTTCTTCCCATGGAAAAATAACAGCCATAAGAAGAGTCTTTATTAGATTATATATCATGCTGAGCTATAGTTTGCTTTAACTATTAATTTACTAAACACTAGAGTTTATTACTGATAATGAGTCACTTAGAGAGGTTACTCTAAACCTCTATGAAATAATCCTGTTCTCTTTTAAATCCTCAATTATTTGACAATGCAGTCAAACATTTATCTTTGTAAATAATTTTAGATTTGTCTGTCCCTACATTTAAATAGATGAGTTAAATTCTAAGTTTGAGAGGGACAAAATATCATTTGCTACATTTTTTCATACCATGTATGATTTAATATGACTCATTAGAGATTTATATAAGGACATTACTATATTGGTAGCTTTATGTTATCTTAATTCCAAGCATGAGATTCATCTTTTTAAAATACCAACTGTACATTGGATTGACATTTTCACTAAGTTTCCCATCGTGACTCTATGATCAGTCCTGATCAGTCGGACTGATCAGTCATTACCAGCACAATTCCCATTAATGTAAATAGAACTCTAGGTTCCTATGCCAATGTGCATCACTTGGCATGTGCTTATATTAAATTGCATTTGCCATTTTTAAACCCATTCACTTTATGCCTTTATGGAACTGTCAAGAGACTTGGACAAAGAACAAAAACAAAGCAGAAATAATTGAGGACCCACAAACAAAACATTAATTCACCACATGAAGCCAACAAGCCATAGTTTCAAATTACAGTTTACTGCCCTAGAAGAAATTGTCACTTATTCACAGGCCCCATTAGCACATTATCCTGCCAAAATCTCAAGCCACTTTATGGTATACTATGATGTTAAAACGACTAAGGATGCTATCCATTCTACAGTAGAAAATATATCAGCAGCAAAAGTCCATTTGCCTCCCCTCATTCCAGAGTCTTCCCATGCCTCCAATTCTTTTCTGGAGGCTTGAAAGATTTTCTAGAGCAGATTTAGCACACGGAACATAGAATCATAGGGCTGGAAGGGACCTCAGAGGTCTTCTAGTCCAATCCCCTGCTCAAGGCAAGAGACCTTATACCGGGGTGTCAAACTCAATTTCATTTAGGGCCGCATCAGCATTGCAGTTGCCCAAAGGGGTGTGTGTGTGGCCAGGGTGGGTGCATCCTACTGGGTGGATGTGGCCTACTGGGTGGGCATGGCCAGCTCTACATCATTCATGTAAAGGGTGCCTGTCGGGCCTGGGCAGGAGTGAACAGATCTGAGGGTCTCTGGCAGAAGGGGGTGGGACCAGGACAAGTGCCAAGGCATGGTCCATTTCTTCATTCCTCACAAAGGGTGACACCTCCCCAGCATGCCCCAGGGGGTGGGGCCGATGCGGCAGGGGCTGGTTCCTCACTGTTTCCAGACAGCCTTGTGGAGCTAAGACTGAATGCGTTTCAGCATAGATGGCCACCACAAAATTGAACATTGGCTCCCGGCCGTCCCGGGCCAGGGCCAAAGCAGCAGGGGCCGTTCCCTCACTATTTCCAGGATGGCTTCGTGGGCCACATGAAACCACTTCCCGGGCCGCATCCAGCCCCCGGGCCTTGTGTTTGACATGTCTGCCTTATACCATTCCGGTAAAATTGTTGTTTTGTGTGATAAATCTATTTTTTTAAAACCTCCAGTGATAGAGCAGTCACAACTCTGGAAGGCAAGCTAATTCTTTAATTGTTCTCATTGTCAGAAATTTCTCCTTTAAGGTTGGATCTCTCTTTAACAAGTGCTCACTCATTTACTTCTTGTCCTGCCCTTTAGTGCTTTGAAGAATAGGTCAATCCTCTCTTCTCTATGAGAGCTCCTCAAGTCCTGGAAGTTATTATGTCCTCCCAACATCCTTCATCACACAATTTAGCCTCCAGACCCTTTATCATCTTTGTTGCTCTTTTTTCACTCTTTCTAGGGCAGTGGTTCTCAACCTGTGGGTCGGGACCCCATTTGGGGTCGAACGACCATTTCACGGGGGTCGCCAGACAAGGCTGTCCGCCATTTTTTCCCCTTTTCTTTGGCCACGCCCCTGGCACCCGGTGATGTATAAGTGGTTGGGGGTCACCACAACATGGGGAACTGTATTATGGGGTCGCGGCATTAGAAAGGTTGAGAACCACTGTTCTAGGGTCTCAGATCTGGGTATAAGAGAGAAGCTTTCTACAAGGGAATGTTTGCTTATGTGCAGCGAGTATCACACGAGTGTGTAAAGACTTTGCCATCATGACCTACTTCAGAAGAGACTGCACTGGTTCCAGTTCTCTTTCCTGTTAAACTGGATTGGAAAAAGACTACTGATTTTGCCACAATTCCATTAACTGAAAATTCTCTTTTCCTCCTCCCCCCCCCCCCAGATTTGATGCTTCTGGTAATTATCATATTCCAAATTACCTAGATTTAGCATATAATAGAAATCTTCTGAAAATCATGGCAAATGAAATTTAAGAACACAGAACAGCATTTTTTTGTACCATGCTATAGCACTTCAAAACATTCTCTAGCCATTAGTTTAGACCAGACATGTCAAACTTGCAATGTCACGTGACGTCGCACGACATATCAGAACTTTCCTCCCATTGCTGGCAATGGGGTAGGTGCGGTTTCGTCATGACGCGTCCGGCCCATAGGCCGGCAGTTTGACACCCCTGGTTTAGACAACTGAAAACTTTACTTTTAATTCTTTGCAATTAACAGAAAAAGCATTATTGTGTACAGCTCTTTTATGAAGCAATAACTGATTTATATGATATGGTATTTTAAGACACTTTGACTACTGAATCCAAAAGTGTCCCAAATGAGTATTTCCAGCCAATTTAAAATACAAAAAGTAATATAATATCTAATATTGAAACAAAACCAGAAACAAAACCAGGAAATGAAACTGAAGTTCAGGGCAATTAAGATTTTGCTACTATATAAAATATGTATGTATGTATGTGTGCATATTTGTGTATGTGTATGTGCGTGTGTAAATAAAATCACCAGGCTAGAAAGGTAAGCCAGTTTGGCCTAGTGGTTGAGGCACCAGGCTAGAAAATGAAAGTTCATGAGTTCTAGTCTTGCCATAGCCATGAAAACCATCTGGGTGACCTTGGGTCAGTCATTCTCTTTCAGCCAACTCACTTCACATGGTACTATTGTGGGGAAAATATGAGGACAAAGGTATATTGGATATGTACATCATTTTGAGTTATTTGTAAAAATAATAAAGACAAGAAACAAATAAATAAATGTAAATATAAACTTATTTTCCAAATTAGCTATGAAACAACTTTAGAACTTCATGGCACTTTCTCATCTTTCAAGGAAAAAAATTACCAAATACTTTCTTACACTTTCAAACCATATTTGATTCCGCAATACATTTTTACTTTGGTCTCTCATTTTCCTTCAGCTGATATTAGAAGAATAAACTGCTTCTAAGTAAATGTCAACTTATACTTTTTTCTTGTGTATGAGGATTCATAAGCATTTTTACAAGCAAGCTAAATAAACTTCCAGGATAATTTAATCATTACTGTTTCTAGAGGCAGTCAGGAAAAATATGGATGTGTTGAATACTATACAAAGTTTGTATTACTGAAAAAAGCATAATTATTTTTACATATTTGATTTATATCTCACTGTTCTTTTCAAACAAGGTCTCCCAATTTCTTACCTTCAAAAATAGCAATACAGTTGGTATTTTATTTAGATCAACTGCTGATGAAAGGTTCTACGCACACCACTCATCCTCACATACATTTTAATGCTATATTGTCCAAAATCATGACAGTCAGCAGCTATTCAACTTTTTTCAACAGCCAATTTGATTCTATGGTTTTATTTTTGAAAAAGAAGCTTACCTAAAAATGTTCTTCAATGACCTTGAATACTCACTAAAATTCATTCCATACTTTCTATGAAAACAAATCAAGGTTCTTCTAAGAAGCAATTTAATGGGAAGCTATTACTTATTCCTCTGATTGATAACATTATCAGTAAAATGCACCATTGTAAGCCTTCATTATTTATGACTTTTATCCTGCCCTTTATTACTTTATAAGTAACTCAAGGCAGCAAACATATCTAATACTCCTTCCTCCTATTTTCCCCACAGTAACACTGTGAAGTAGGTTGGACTGAGGGAGTGATTGGTCCAAAGTCATCCAACCACCTTTCATATCTAGGATGAGACTAGAACTCACCGTCTCCTGATTTCTAGTCCAGTACCTTCACCATTACACCAAACTGGCTCCCAAGAACCATAATTTCCATGATTCATGTTTTCATGATACCAACACGGCTATATTCTAGGATTATGATACACGATTCCATTTGTTAAACACATGTATATGGCCACTAAATTCACACACAGGTGACTGGTAATTTACAGCATTAAAACCTACAACATATAATCTATAAATGTGGTTTTATATGTGCATTTCTACTGTTTTATACAGGTACACCTAGGTGTCATCTTAATTTACCTTAGTCAGCTTCAAAATACATTTTTGTTAGAGTAGATTACTTTTAAAAGATATGTAAAAATGCTTCCTGAACTCTTGGATTCTGGAATGAAAAGAGACTTCTGCACATACTTTTAATCAAGCTCAATTGCTCCAAACTGCATAACATGAAAAGAAGGAAAAGCTATATATATATATATATATATATATATATATATATATATATATATATATATATATATAAAAACCCTTACCTCCATTGATTGGCAAAGGTGCCAGAAGTAGGCCTTTGACACTTATTTTGGGAGAAGTTTGTCCATAGCGTGCACGCTCAAGTGTTATTGAAGCAGATGTTGAACGATCAGGATTCAACACAGTGATATTTACGAGAGCTGTATAATATATTAGATTGGAATTATCTGCACTAGCTTGGAGAGGGTAACAGTTAAACAGGACCAAAATGGGCACAGAGGATAAGTAGCTCCAGTAAGGCAAAATCCACTTCAGAATCATTTTCAGCTCTTAAAAATTGCTATTTTATTGTTAAAAATTCTTCTCAATGAGATGATCGTGTTTATTATGGGCACATATTCATATTAATCTGCTCTACAATTAAAAGAAGCAAAAAAGTAATCTCACATATCACTCTCCATCCAGTCCCCCACTTCAATACTGCTGAAAAGACATAAAATGGTGGGAGAGTGAAGGAAAAAAATTGCCAGGTTAAAAAAAAAAGGGAATAAATCACATCCAATTTGCCCGGAGATGTTTTAATCTAAGCGGTACGGCATACTGTAGGTTAGGGCTACGGCCAGTTTATTCACGGGCAGAGGGAGAAATATTCGTATCCCACCGTTTGGAGCCAAGGCCAAGCAGTCCTTTCCTTTGGATGGTCCAAAGGAGCTCCCCTCCGGCCTGCCTGAGTGCCTCTCTTGGGGCTTCCCCAGAATCGCAGCCCCTCAAGCCGGGAGCAAAGAAGCGCAGCTGACGGCAACAGCTCCTCGGACAGAGCTTTGTTTTTCTGGGAAAGGCAAAGAGGAAAACGGGCGGTGGGAGAGACAAACAGGAGATAAACACGTAGGGAAGGACGTGAGCCACCAGGATTTAGCGACGCCGTTCTGCTCGAAGCCCTCCTCGCCGCCGCCACCTCTAGGCTGCTGGGGCTGGGGTTGCTGCAATCAGTGCGGGAGGCCGTTGAACGTCGCTCTCTCGATGGCCCCTGAGGCTTCGCAGCCGGCGGTCAACCTCAGACTCCAGGCTGGGTCCCGAGGCGGAGCCCTTCTGCGCACGTAGCCTCCACAGACCTTTCCCAACCGCAGGCGAGCGTCCGCAACCGAGGGAGCGGGAGCTCCATGAAGCTTTAGCCGACCGCTCCGGACGGCCCTTGTTCGTCCTCGCGCCCCCAAGCTACAGGCAGGTTAGAGCGCACGCGGCCCCACCCACCAAGCAACCGCCGGCCTCTCTTTTCCTCTCAAAGCAACGGCAGCTCTCCGCTCTCGAGCCACTTTCTTATGGCGGAACCGCCAGCTTCCGACTGTCGGTTGGGGTGTCGCGCCCGGTGCGCAAGCGCACTGCACCAACCCAACTCTTCACCTCCCCCTTCGACGAGGAAGTGGGATTGAAGTCACGCCCCCTCCCCTCCGAAGGGGCGGGGAGGGGAGAGACCCCAAGGTCCAGAGGAGGAGGAGGAGGAAGACTTGGGAGGGGCTGGACGCGAGTTCCTGTAGAAAGCGAGGTAGCGTAGCCCCCAAAAGGTGCTTTTTCACGAGCCTACTGGTGTAGATAGGTTGTTACTTTTGATGGTCCGCGTGATGTTGGTGATGACTGCAGCATAGCCCACGAGAATGGAAGTTGCAGTCCAAGAATTTATGGAAGTATAGATTGCCCTTGCCGCTGTCTCTCGCCCCCCCCCCACCTCAGCTGATTCCCCAGTTGGGAGTACAGGTAGTCCTGGACTACCACCACAACTGAACCCAACATTTATGTTGTTAAGTGAGACATTTGTTAAGTGAGTTTTGCCCCATTTTATGACCTTTCTTACCTCAGTTGATAAGTGAATCACTGCATTTGATAAACTAGCAACCCACTTGTTAAGTGAATCTGGTTCCCCATTGATTTGCTTGTCAGAAGGTTCCAAAAAGTGATCACATAACTCCGGGACACTGCACCCATCATAAATATGAGTTAGTTGCTAAGCATCTGAATTTTGACCACATGATTATGGGGATGCTGTAAAGGTTGTAACTGTGAAAAATGGTCATAAGTTACAAAGTGCCGTTGTAACTTTGAATGGTCACTAAATGAATTGTTGTAAATCAAGGATTGCCTGTAATTCCTTGCTTTGATCAAACTTGCACCATTCAGTTTCAAACCAAGTGGACAGCAGCAATAACCTTTTCAGGCTTTTTAGGCATCACAACATGCCCCTTGTGATTAATGATAGTTTCAGTAAACCATTGGTAGAGAAGATTATTCTTTAGGTATTATTTTTTATTGTGACTGAGTAGGTGAGGGATTTCATGGTAGCAAATTCTGCTTCAACTCTAGGTATTAATGTCTTTTTTGGCTCTTGCATTTTTAGTTCTTGAGAAAGGCAGAATAAAGGCTGGGAGGAGTGGGCGAAGCAGTAAATATATACATTTTTGTACATCATATGGCTCATTGAGCAAATCATAGCTGTTTCTTAAATATATTCTACCATGGTGTTGGTAGGTAGATTGATATTGTACATATGGATGACACTTGAAATACTGTATATCTTTTCAGTTTGTTGACGAATATAAATATTTCCTGAATCCTAGTGGCATGTGGAAGGCTCCAACATTATAAGCAATGATTAATGTTCAGTAACTTATTTAAATCTTCCTTTCAGAGAGCTGTTGCAATTGTGATACACTTTATTGCCAGTGTGAGGCAGCTAAATGAAAATCATATTGATTTAATTTTCCCTTAATGAAGGCCACATTTCTCTTCCTTGCAAGGCTTTACAGTGTGACTTTTCATAATGGACATTGACCCTGCACAGCCCACTAAAAATAGGCAGCTTGTGGCTGTGTAAATTCTCAGAAATGATGTTCATGCAAAACACTATAGAAATATCTGTATAATTCAAGAAGTATTTCTGAGCCAGTAGCCAAACATTCTGCTTTAACAGCATATCCTTCTCTTTGCAATGTGGGACATAATGGGTGACAACCACAAACTTTCTAAGCATTTTTTGAAACTTGTCATAATTCCTTTAAAAGGGCAGCAAAATGACAATTGTTTCCAAGAAATGTGACTGTGTTTCACCTTAACTAGATTGTAGACATTTGCTTCATTTTATGGGCACTTTGATGCTTTTAAGACAAATGTGGAGTACTAGGAATGTTGCTGCCTTGAGTTGACTAAATATATAAAAAAGGCAAGATAAAAATACAAATAGTAATTCATGGCATTAAAGTCTGTTCATACATGTATTTCTGGATTCTTTTTTCTTAGGAATGTCAAGTTTGCATTTTCACATGAAAATTAAAACAGACTTGTTAATTTACAAATAAACTTCTCCACTTACATGAACCTCCTCTGACCATATTTGTATTCATATTGGTTTGTAAAACAAAACATTTTGCCTGGGAGGACATCTCATAGTGAGACATAGCACTTCATAGTCCCTGAACTATACAACATTTTTCACCAGATTTAAATAAGTCACATAGTAGTTTAGCTCAACACACAAGTCCAGTAATTTTCACACTCATTTTAGAAGAAGCAAGTTTAAAGTGTCAACACACCTCTTTCTTGCTGCTATACTAGACAGAGTATCATTAAAATTGAAATTAAAAAGCAGGGCAAAAGAGCATTTAAAGAATGCGGTCTAGTTTTTGTTCATAATTGGAAGTTTTTAAATTTAAATTTTAATTAAATATGTAAGAACTATTTATCACGCTATTGTTTTCAGGATGCATTCTTTTTAGGATATGTAGGAAACTCATTTTGTTTCAAAGACCAGATTGGCTCTGGATTAATGTGTTAGTAGCCACATAACATCACTGGGTGGACAGATATGTAGCCCTTGATGTTCTTGTCTAGACAACACCCAGATATTCACATAGCCTCCTGAACATACCTGTCACCAACATCTGTGGAAGTGATTTTAAAGGCTACTTTTAGAAGGAAAATTGGGGTTGTCCTGATTCAAAGCCTCCACATATACCAGTCATAGTTTTAAGTACCTTCATTGACATCAATATATGGTATTTTAAAGCAAGAGGCAAATGCTTTAAGAGATGTTGCAGTGTTAAAGAGGAGACAATTAGCTCTTCTAAGAGCTTTTCTCTTCCCCAGTCTCCGCGGAATGACTGGGCCTTGAGAGATGTTCTCCCCCAACAAAGGAGATGCAGGTAGTATGACTGAGCAGATCCAGATTCTTGAATTTGCTCTACTCTGCTCAGTAGAAGCAGCAGCCTTGAAAATGTGTAATCAAGCTTTAAATCCCCTTCACCGTCATCACATGGAGTATATTTTTAAAACTTTTATAGAGTTGGAAAAAAGCTCTCATCTTTGAGGTGTTTACTGTTCCCAGGCCTGTGAAGGGAAATCCTTGCAATGAATCATATGGGATGAATAGAGATCTTCAAAGTCTTAAGTTTCCATGCCGGCCTGAAATAATGATAGATAATCTGTCATCATGAAAAATGGACATTTAAAGCAATTGAAATATTTATGGATTTATGAAAAATTATTTTCCCTTTAGCATGCCAACATCTTTCATTGCTTTCTCTGATCTCATTCCTTGATAATTAGAATAGAATAGAGCTGGAGGGGACATTGGAGGTCTTCTAGTCCAGCCCCCTGCTCCAGCAGGAGAAAATACCAGTGGTGGCGAACCTATGGCACACGTACCAGAAGCGGCATTCGGAGCCCTCTCTGTGGGCATGCACTCCATCGCCCCAGCCCTGTCTTCCCCTGTGGCACCCTCCTCTCCAGCAGCCCCCCTGGAGGAGAGTCGCCCCCAGGCGCAGCCTGCATGGAGCAGTGCAGCCAAGGAAATTGCCGGGCAGCAGAGACAAGATTCCACCCTCGCGCTCCATAGCATGCAGATGATGCTGCGGGGTGTGGACGGAGGGCGTGGCTACCATGGCGCTGCAGGGCTGCCTGGGTGATCTGCTACTGCGGGCCATTGAGGCAGTGCATGGCCCTGTGGGTGGGCAGAGCAGGGGTCAGGCAGGGCGGAGCAGGCAGGGTGGAGGTGGAGTGGGGGTCAGGGGCGGGTTTTGGGCACTCCGTCTCTAAAAGGTTCGCCATCACTGACCTATACCATTTCAGACAGGTGACTGTTTAGTCTCTTCTTAAAAACCTCCAGTGATGGAGTGCCTACGATTTCTGAAGGCAAGCTATTCCACTGGTTAACTGTCCTCAGTTAGGAAGTTTCTCCTTAATTCCAGGTGCTTCTCTCTTTGGTCAGTTTCCAACCATTGTTTCTTGTCTTGCCCTCTGATGCTTTGGAGAATAGTTTGACACCCTCTTCTTTGTGGCAGCCCCTCAAATATTGGAATACTGTTCTCATGTTGCTCCTGTTTCTTCTTTTCTTTAGACTAGCCAAACCAAGTCCTACAGCCGTTCTTCATATGTTTTAGTCTCCAGGCCTTTGATCATTTTAGTTGCTCTTCTCTGAACTTTTTCCAAGGTCTCAACATCTTTTTTGTAGTATGGTGACCAAAATTGGTTGTAGTATTCCAGGTTTGGTCTTACTAATCCAGTGATTGTCGATTAAATTTGCTATTAGAAGGAATGGCTATTTAGATTGTGATTGGAACTACGAGGAATGCGTCACCTTATTTTATTACTAATTTTTGCCATATAAAAATTTTCAAGATGCCCTAGATGTGGATGAAGGTGTATATGTATGCATAATTACTACCATAACTATTTCCTTCCAACAGAATCGAAACCTCAGATTAGTCAGCCAAGCCATCCGTTAGCAAATTCTGATGGAGAAGCAGTTACAGAATGTCAAGCTGCATTTGTACAAACTAAAGCAGTTCCTTTTGAGAAACGTTGTATAGAAAAACAAAAAAGCTATCATGAAGGGGCATCCATGTTTAAAATCACAATCATAAAACCTCCTGAGTATCTTATGTTAGATACCCAGATTTCTCAACTCAACTTCACAAATAGAAATAAGTGTTATTATTTGTCCTGGATCCACTCCCCCCTCCACATGTGAGTTCAGAGAAGGAGGGTGAGTCTGAGTCTGCAGAGGAAGCGCAGAGCTGAATATTGGTCAGGATCGGGGCTCAGAGAGTGCTAGTCTGATGGAACAGCCTCAGCTAGGTTATGAGTGATAGGCTAAGGCTGAGTGTGGTGAGCCACAGCTGCAGCAAGTTGGCCAGGAGGCTTTCACTGATGGTCAAACATCACCGCATAATCATAGAACTCCCGCATAATCATCCAGGAGCAGGCTGGCCTGCATGAACACCAGGATCCCCCAATGGGCTGGTCAAAAAGCTGATGAATCCCACCTTTTTGGGGTCTGGCTGGAAATCATCTGGCCTCAAACTTATGAAGAGTTGGCATTGTCCCAGAAACTCCAGAAACTGCTCCAAGATTCTGTCAAACTTGTCAGGCACCTATACTGGGCATTTCCATCAAGGGCATGTGGGAGTGGTTGCCTGCATCTGGGCCAGCTGGGAGGAGAACAGGGCCACTTGCTGTGCCAACAGCGCATTGTCCACTGGAAGTTGTTCCATGTTCCCGCATGGCAAGCAGTATTATGGGTGTGTATTTGAATGTAGAGGCTGGAGCAAACTGTGTTTCCCCACTCCTGCCTCCCCACACACATCAAGAGTTCTATACTGTAGGTGTTTATTTAAACCCCCCAACAAGTCCTTGGAAACAACCCCCGATGTGCAGGTCCAGATTCTGACCTCAGCATGGCAAGCCACTGGGTAACTAAGTCCAGCAGGTACCCATAATGTCCAGGAAAGTAGTCAATGATACAGATGGGTCAGGATACATGGCACAAGCACATAAGGCACAGAACTGGGCAAGGTGCTCCAGCAACATTCAGGTCCTCGGGGCCGGATTAAGTAGGCAACGGTGGTGCAGCCCTTCATGAGAGGTGAGGTTGCCTCCTCATGAGTAGACTAGATAGCTGACCAGCCTTGTGCCTGTCTCTTCTCTGCTCTATGTGTCCTTGGATCAGGAGGAGGATCATTGCTAACCGGCAGCAGCTGCTTCTGGTCCTCTCCTGGAGCCTCCTGGCCAACTTGTCACAGCTTGCCTTCCTCAGCCTTCACTTTGATCCATCAGGCTAACACGCTCTGAGCCGTGATCCTGACCCAGACTCAAACTCACCCTCCTCCTCCTCTGAACTTGCATCTGGAGAGAGGCCCAGGAGTGGATCCATGACATTGTTAGATTTTTATCCTATCTTTGGATGGATGGATAGACAGATGGATAGATAACCCCAGGCGGTGAACATAACTAATATTCCTTCTTTTCCCCGTGACAACCACCATGTCAAGTGGGCTGGTGTGAGAGAGAGTGAGTGGCCCAAAGTCACCCAGCTGGCTTTCATGCCTAAGGGAGCCCTAGAACCAGGGCTGGTTTCAGCTGGTTCGCACCAGTTTGGCAGAACCGGTTGCTAATTTTTTGTTGCCCAGGCCCTCTGGAAGCAGCATCCACACAGAGAACCAGTTGTTCACATATTTGAATCCCACCACTGCCTAGAACTTATAGTCTCCTAGTTTCTAGGCCAGCACTTTAATCACTATATGAAATGCATTCTAAAAAAGGGGGAACTCAATAGAAATTTGTATTCCACTGTAAATATCTGTGGGAAAATGTACACCATAAATCATGGATGCACAAGCTGAAACTTTTGCCCAAAGGCTTCTTGTTTAGCTCTAATCTCTGTGTTTTTTTGATAATTCTTTGAAAGGCATAATTTCCACTAGAATAATTAGTTTCCCTGATAATGTCCTATAATATTGCTATTCAAGCCTCACTAGATTATCTAGTTCCAGTTGCTAAAAAACTGATTCTAAAAGAAATTCTTATCTCTGGGTAAGTTTAGACATAAGCCATTTCAGAATTTGGAAAGTGAGCAAAAAATACAGAAAGCATCTGACAGTTCATAAGAGGGAATTTTCCAACAATTTCTTTCTTTCTTTACTATGTTGGAGCAGGCAAAGCAAGACTATTATCAAAACTTAATACTCACAAAAACCTAGTCCTTAAGCAGTTTTTTTTGGAAGACCAGGAGGGTAAAGACATGCATGGGGAAGGGTAGGGGCCACTATCAACAAGGAGTACTACTTATGTCATATATCTAGCATTTAAGGGAAATGGCCTGAAGCTGCATTCTGGAGCAGTTGTAGTTTTCAGTACATTCTTGTAATTCAACCAACATGTGACCATGGCATGAATGATTGTACAAGACATCCTGATCCAGGAGTGGTCATAACTGGTTCAGAGCCCCACTTGAACACAATTGCCATCTATTACAAACTGGGAGTGTGACCTATCCAGAACTAACAGTGATATATTCCTGATCTCAGATGGTCTCCAAACCAAAATCACTCAGTCATGCTGAGATAGATTTTAAAGCTGTTTACTCCTTCCTAACAGCTCCAGACATGGGACAGCATCTTTTTTAAATAAATATTTTATTAATTTTCTAATTTCACAGTCACGAGTACTTAATAAACAACATGTTGTCTGGGTCCATTGGTAATTCAGTGGTACATATTAACTTTCTCAATCTAGTTCCAATACTACACCATCCAGTGCTTCCTTGATTCTCTCTTCTTCCGGTGGTATGCATTTTTCCACACTGGGCAAATAAAATTCTTGTTACTGTTAATACATTTACAATTAAATATAGACATCTTCATCACATTTTTCTGGTATTATACATACTACTACTACTACTACTACTACTACTACTACTACTAATAATAATAATAATAATAATAATAATAATAAAGTTAGAAGGTACCTTGGAGGTCATCTAGTCCAACCCCCTGCTCAGGCAGGAAACCCTATACCATTTCAGACAAATGGCTGTCCAGTCTCTTCTTTAAAAAATCCAGTGTTGGAACATTCACAGCTTCTGGAGGCAGGTTGTTCCACTGGTTAATTGTTCTATCAGGAAGTTTCTCCTTAGTTCTAGGTTGCTTCTCTCCTTGATTAGTTTCCATCCATTGCTTCTTGTCCTGCCTTCAGGTGCTTTGGAGAATAGCTTGACTCCCTCTTCTTTGTGGCAGCTCCTGAGATATTGGAACACTGCTATCATGTCACCCCCTTGTCCTTCTCTTCATTAAACTAGACATACCCAATTTCAGCAATCGTTCCTTACAGTATATGTTTTAGCCTCTAGTCCCCTAATGATCTTTGTTGCTCTTCTCTGTACTCTTTCTAGAGTCTCAACATCTTTTTTACTTCGTGGTGACATAATATCGATAGCGTCAGTTTATAATATCTAAAATTTCCCTTCTCTCTCTCATTGGGGAGGATTCTTTGCTTTGGGCATTCTTTTTTCCAGGGAAGTAGTATTAAGGTCATAAAAAGTCTCACCCAGTTCCATCCACATTGCTCAGAAATTGCTAGTTAATGCTTATCTTTGGTTATCAGCAGCTTCTGACTGGCCACACAAATGTAGCCAGTCTTTTTCGTGCCGGTTTGGAGGGCTTCCATGGATCTAGCAGAAGGGCTGCTGCCCCTTCATGATCGACGAGGGTCCCCTCATTCTTCATCACCTCTCCGGGGGACCTTTGACCCTTTTCAGGGGTCCCCAGCGGGGCGAAATTGAACATGGAAGAAGGAGCCCGGTCTTCCCGCACCCGTCACCCCATAACACCTAACTGAAGTCAGGACAGCATCTTAACCCTATTTTAACATGTATAGATTAAAATGTAGAACTGAGCATTATCAACATATTGATAAATCCTGATCTTTGTCAATAATTGATGTCCCTTGATAGCTCCAGAAGCTCTATAAGGACCCTAGGATTCAATCACTCCACTCCCTCCTGGAACTATTCCGACAGGAATTAGCAGAACCATTCTAAACAGTGTTTCTCACTCTAAAATTCTAGAAATCACAGAGAAGGACACCATGACTGATAGCATCAAAGGCAGCTGAGTGACCAAGGATTTTCAAGAAGACTGCACTCCCTCTATCCTGGTTCAGCCACAAGACATCAACATGAGGGACCGGTATGATTTTGATACTCTATCCAGGCTTGAATCTTCTCCCAGAAAGGTGTGGGTAATCTCTTCCATATGACTAGTTGATGGTTTCCAAAGTATCTATGTTAAGTGATGTCTTCATGAATAAAGAACACACAACTGCCTCTTTGAGGGTTAGTGATATCATTTGCCACAGCTCTAAGCCAGGTTTCTATCACCTCCCTGGAGGCTTTTGTCAACAAAAAAAAATATAATGTTCTGGAAGTAGGGTCATACATAGAATATATGATACTTGAAGCAGGTTATATTTTTAAGAGTAGAGATGTAGTGGTTAAGCATTAGGCTGAAATGAAGAGACTGTGAGTTATAGTCCTGCCCTAGATGCAAAGCCAGTCTCTTCGTTCAACCTTAGGAAGGAGGAATTGGCAAATTACTTTTGAAAAATGCTGTCAAAAAAACTGCAGGGAACAGTTGGCAAGAGTCAAAACTGACTTGACAGAACAATTCTTTTCCTCTGTCACTGCTGCATTGATGCCAACCACCAATCAGCTAATTGGCACACAGGGAGCAGCAACTCAAGTCCATACCCAACACTAACTGCTTCTTTATTCAGCAGTACTGCCCTTATTGCTTATACCTGGGACAGACTGCCCTCCTACCCCCACTTAGTGTGCCATTGGGCAGAGTTAATGTCTTCAGGGCTAACAGATTCAAACCATTCTAGATAATCTCATAGGATGAGACTTTCTTCACCTCAGTTTGAGCTACACAGTTAGTGTCTAACCTTGAATGCGCCTAAGAAATATCCATTGAATGCCCTGCTAAACACTTTACAACCACTCCACTGATACTCTGGTGCTTCCTTTCACCAAAAGTTCAAGGTTACTTTTTAAAGAAAGCTGCCAAATAGCATCTGAAAATGTAAAAAGAGTAGAGAAGTATTGACATTTCACTGGTCTTAGTCCCACAGAACAGCTTGAATCTGAGCTCTTACTCATGCTTAGTAAATTTCAGTCAGTGTCTTCTGCCATCTGCCATTGTCACTCTAGGTGTTTGTTTGTAGCATCTACCAGAGCTTATCAGTAAACCAAGGAGCTCCTTTGAATCAGTGAGCTAGAAGAAGCTACTCAGATGCATTTGTGTCCATGGCTGCTGCTATCTCCACATTCCAGCAAGCGCTGGATTCAGCACAATTGCCTACCAAATTCTTGGGAAATTCATCAAATTCACCACAGAGCACCTGAAAAGCTTCTTTTCAGCTCCAGGTCAGCCAGAGAATGATTTAATCCTAACAAAAATGAATATTAATTCTCTAAATTCAGGTCATGTTGCCTCTATCTGAGGTAAAAAGCTATGCTGCATGTCTTATGAATTATTGGTGCTGGGAGGGATTGATTTATATAATTTAGAGCAGTGTTTCCCAAACTTGACAATTTTAAGACATGAGGACTTCAACTCTCAGAATTCCACAGCCAGCAACGCTGGCTGTGGAATTCTGGGAGTTGAAGTCCACATGCCTTAAAATTGTCAAGTTTGGGAAACACTGATTTAGGGGTAATCAACTCCAAAATGACCCTGGCTTACGCTTCAAAAAAGAAAAAAGAAAGAAAGAAAAAGAAAAATAAAAAAAGCAGAGAAATGAAGGATACAGAAGGCACATAATTTCTAACAAAAAAAAAAAAAAAAAAAATCCAGAGGAGCTCAATAGCCACTCTGCCCCAAGGCTTGGGAGACAGCCAAATTTTCAGTCATTTTCTGAATGTCATCAGGATAGGAGCTGTCTAAGTCTCTCTGGGGGAATGCTGTTCCAGATGCAGGCACCACAACAAAGAAGCACGTTTCCTAAGTCCTGATAAAGATTAAAAAAAAGGTACCTGAAGCACATCCACTTCTGCATGATCACACATTACTTGTTTGGCAAATCTGCAGGCTAACATATTGTATCTCATCAAACAGAAGGTATACATTTTGTACCTAGAAACACTCAGAAAATATTCTTACTCTTATTTGGAATTCTTTATTCCAAATAAGGAAGACAAATGCCATTTTCTTGGATCCAGTTTCTTCCGTGAAACATATACAGTCCCCTTTTGTTTACCTTTCTAGAAAATAAATGAATATTACCATTGCACTTTATTTGTTGAATGTTTTGGATTTTTTTTTTGTCAAAGGAGTTTTACATAATTCAGCATTTTCTTTTTGTATCATTTGAGTTCTGAAATCTATATAAAGTTTAATTATTTGCCTATGCAGTTCCCCGATTATCTCAAAATGATGTGAATCTGTTCAAAAATGCAAAATGTAGAAATGCCACACCAACTTTTAGTGACTCAATACCACTAAATTAAAAGCACGAAATTGTACTTCATAGAAAAAACAGGGGCTGTTTCTGAGAATTAACATCGGCACAGGTGCATATCAAATAAGAAGTAAGTTACAAATCAATTATCCTATGCCATCTCAAGCCTCCAAAAGATATGATACTTCTGCAAAATGACTCAGCCAACCAATGTCATGGTTTCAAAATATATAAAAGCCTGGAAAAAGATGAAGATGTGCATCTGGAAGATAGTACAGGTAGTCCTCAACTTATGAATGTAATAGAGCCTGCCAATTACATTCGTAACTTGAGGAATTCATTAATGAGATCATGTTAATTGAATGTGATCCTTCCCTGATTTACCCAATGCATTCGCTAATTGAATGCTCAAGGTGGGGAAGATCATGGGAGGCCTAGTGCTTCTGACCACCCAAGGCCTCCCTCAACCTACTGAGATATTTCATGCTTCCCCCTTCCATCCTGCCCCACTGGGTCTCCATAGGCACTGGGCCTGTGGAGACTCACCTTTTGAAGATCTCAATGATCAAGTGAGTTATGTCCTCTCCCGCCTCTGCCACGGTTTCTTTGCCTATGTCCCTGCAGGCTCCTGTTGTCTTTGGTGTGAAGAATGGAGGCTGGGAGCTGCTCCTGGCCTCCATGTTTGGTGGCAAAAGCCTTGAGGAAAGCAAGTCAAAGTCTTCAGGGATACAATTTCTTGTCCCTGCAGGCTTCTGCAAGCTTTTTGCTCAAGCTTTTTGCTGCCAAGAACGGAGGCAAATTTTGCAAAGACAACCAGAGCCTGCAAGTATGCTATCTGTTGCCCTTGCAGGCTTTGGCAAGGAAATGGCAAATGGATGGAAGGCCTGAAGAAATGTCTATGGAGATTCTCAGTCATCCAGGTCATAGTTATCCCAAAGATGTTTTTCACGAGGCAACTGGACTTTTTTGTTTTTCCTTGACGATGTTTTGCTTCAAAGGGGTGGGGGAGATGCTGTAACTTCAAATGGTCGCTAAGTGAACTTGTAACTCGAAGATTACCTGTATATTCTTTAAAAGTACACTTTGAAGGACATAAAGACACACACACGCAGAGAGACCTGTGTATATGTATACAGTGTAAACAATTATAGAACTGAGAATTTGAACAGAATTATAACGAACAAAAATAATAAATGTAAAGAAAAGATGATTTCTACTTTTGGTAATCTCTGCGTACTTTCATTTTTATAACTGTTTTAATGAGCTACTATTTTGAGAGAAGTTTTTGGGAGTCAATGCACCTAATTGCTTGTTGAAGTAAAAATTGGATAAAGCAAAGCTAGATTAATTAATTGCATCAAGAGAGGATATAGGATTTTTATCCCTTTGGAGAATACATAGATACAAATTACAGTTGTTTCTCAGTATTTGAGTATTCTATATTGTTATATTGTCATTTTATTCATTTTTTGACTTTGTTATTATTGGAGGTCTGCAAACTACTTAAAGTCAGATTTTTTTGGAGCAGTATACAAGCCTAGTGAACCACCTCCTCCTTCCTCTTCTTCCTCCTCCATCAACTTTTTCATTAAATATACAAAGTGGGTATGTTCATAATCATATTGTTAATACACAGTGAGGCAAAACTGAAGAGTAATGAATTCGGGAGGGTCAAGTCAAACTTTGTATTAACTATGTGCCACAGACAAGGAAAGGGGCCCCTAGTGGGTAGAGAGTTGGCGAGCAGATAAGGAACTTTGAAAGTATTATGTTGTATATACTCTGCTTCTTTGTTCATAAATTGGTTGAAATAAGGGACATAACCGTTACAAGTTCCCAATTTACCAGAATTTTCCTTATCGTGCAAAATGGCATGTTTGCTTAATACAGTGGTTCTCAACCTTTTTAATGCCGCGACCCCCAACCGGTCGTAAGTCGAGGACTACTCAACCGATCGTAAGTCGAGGACTACTCAACTGGTGCAGCACCGTTTGCAGACTGGGACTTTTGGCGGGCTCCGCAGGGCAGAGACAGCCTGGACAATTCCTATTGGCTTTTGAAAGCCAATAGAATTAGACTCTATTCAAGAGAGTCTATTCTATTGGCTTTCAAAAGCCAATAGAATAAAAAGGGAGTAGCACAGCTAAGGAAAAGGGGAAAAAAATGGCGGACTGCGTTGTTTGGTGACCCCCATGAAATGGTTGTTCGACCCCAAATGGGGTCCCGACCCACAGGTTGAGAACCACTGGCTTAATATCTCTATTATCTTACTTTTTTTTTTGTGGGCAATAGGTTTGCTTCCAGACAAAGCACTTACCTGTCTCTACTGTTTTTTATTTACTGAAGAAGCTTATATCGATCAGTCAATTTAATTACAAGCTTAATTTTTCTGGCTGCCCATGTTCCATGACTGAATTTTGGAAATATAGTATACTAACTTCTCCCAATTTTAATAAATGTAAATCTCAGATAAAAAATGAAGGTTGACAGTCATGCATGACATCTTGGGTTCAGAATGCTATTTAGCATTTTCTGCAATGTTTTGGGGTCTCAAAGAATTGTTTCTTGGTATGCATGTGTGTGTGCAGCCATATAGAATATTGTATTCTAAAACAAACAATAGTCTAATATTACATAGAAAGAGGTCTAAAGAGCATAATATCTAAAACTAAGTGAGGGACATCATTTACAAAGCGATTTTCTACAGTGAGAAATTTTCAAATAATTA